TCCTGAAGAATTGTGCTACACTAAGGCTTTTGTGAGGATTTCGAATATCGATCTTTAGTATCCAACGCTAGGCGCGTTCTACATGGTCTCCCTGAAAACAAGACCAAGTTGCGACAACGAGGTCAACCCACTTCTATCAATCGAAAGGATACTGCGATCACACCAGAGGCCACAACATCTTGGTCTTCATATATTCTACTTATTTCCTGTCTGACTCTGGCATCCGAATCATCCCCATACAGAAACTCGAAAGCCTACTTGTCTACTGAGTATACGCAATGTAGTCGATTGCTTTATCAAATACAACATAGTGAAATTCACCTATGCCCTGTATGTCGAGATTACACGCTGCACTGTCATGGTTCGAGTCCCGTGGGGGTGTTGACAAAATCTAGACAAGGTCACAACCGCAGTCCAGCCTGGATGAGAATGAGTTTTGGGAAAACAAGGCTATGCGACATGTGATGGGAACATCATGTCTACAGATAGTATTGTGGAAAAGTTCAACTACCAGGCCTTCAACACCTTAAACTAAACAGGGTGAGCACAGCTCAGTGCCAGCTAGCACATCTGATTGTGGAAAGGCGGGAGTAGAGTCAATTGTTATTGGATGATACGGCTTGGGTGTGCACATGAAGCCTGCTTTATGTGGGCGAATTGGCATTAAATCCACCTACTTGTGATAATCTTCGCGGCAGTAGGCCTTTCCGTCACGCACGAAGCATGTCGAGTCCTCCCCTAGGCCCCGAGAACACTTGACACAGCGAAGACACCGACCATGCCACTCAAGATCCGGCTGTACGTGCAAAATGACGGCGTCAAAGATGGCCCGACCACAGCCGACGCACAGTGGGCATGCCGAAAGACTCATCAGACTCTGAGCCTGACCGATGTCGGCCTCGAGCTCAAGCTCCACCTCCTCTTCGTCTTCGTCGGCAGTGACGTCGCAGAGATGCTGGCGTAGTCTTGTCAAAGAGGGCCTCGGTCTTCCGGTCTCTTGTGTCTGTCGGAGAATCGGCGCTGGAAGAGTAGACGGTGAT